GCTCCTGCCTTACTGGTTTCTCGTTTTGGGTCTGGTAGCTGGGATTCCTGTACTGGTTCCGGCTTTTCCTTGTTACTTTTCTGGACCGTATGTTTTTGTTTGTTTGCGGTTCACGTCCTGCGTAGTTCCCCTCAGGTCTCCCTCGAAGATGTGTGAGTCGTTCTTCCCTGCTGGAGCTGGTTGCGCTGCTCCTTTGGGTTGGCAGGGTCGCCGTTTTTCATTTCGCGTCTAGCGTTTTCCTTCGTGGTGCCCGCTGTCCTCGTTGGCCTCTGCCTGGGCCCTGGCTTTTCGGTGTTTGGCCTTGTTGGTCCTTAGGGGTCCTGGGGGGCAGGGGAGGTTCCTCCAGGACAGGGCATTTCTGCTCACTCTGGTTGGTTCCTTTGGCTCGCTGGGGTTGGTTTTCCTGGTTCCCTGGCGGCCATTCCTTTTGGATTTGGCCTTCTTTGGTGGACCCTGCTGCTGTCTTCGGTTTTAATCCTGTGGGTCTTCGCGCGGCTCCGCCTCCTTTTGTAGGTCGGTCCTGTCCTGTGCAGCGCTGGTTCGTTCCTCCCCTTGAGTCTTCGCGTCTCGGGTTTTTATCTCGTTTCTCGTCACTTGTGTGGACGCCAGTGGCTGCATTGTTGGTCTCCCTCGGCATGCTTCACCGTGCTTCACCTCCCATCTGTGTGTGGTTTGTCCTGGTGGTCCTTCTGGTTTTCCTATCACTGTGAAGGGTTCTTCGATCTCTGATAGGGTTGTCTTGTCTTTCCCTTCGGGGTTGTTTCGGGACCGTCTTCTGGTACCATGTACTGTCTTGGGTGGCGCTGGCGGAGCCGCTCCAGCTTGTGGTCGGTGTTGCTGTCCCTTCTCCTCCATTCCGCTTGCTGTATTGGGAGTTGTTTTCCCTCTGGCCTGCTCTTGCGTTTCCGGTGCCATCCTGGTTGTTGGCCCCGGTGGTCTCTTTTTCTTCTCCTCGGTTTGGTCCTTGGGTTGCTGCTTGATTGGTCAGGCCGGGGGTGCTTCCTTGTTGATCGGTTGCAGCTCATCACGGCGCTTCTTGGCCTTTGGGGTCATAGGCGCGTTTTGGTTTGTCCGGGTTCCCTTTCATCCCTCATTTGTATTTTGGGATTCGGGTCTTCCGGGTTGTCTGCAGGTTTTTTTCTTTTCTTTTCGTCTGTGGTCTTGTGTTTAGGTTAAGGCGCGTGGCGTACGCCTCCCGGGTCCTTCCCTCTTTTACTTATCTGTGGTGAGGTAGCTCCAGGGAGCCGATGGGATTCCCCCCAGAAAATCAGCGTTGAATATAATGAAACGCCGTTTTCTGGGTGAGTCCCGGAGGCTCCCCGGCATCCCTCCCTCCCTCCCTCCGGTCGGCAGTGTTTTTCGTGCTTTTTGACATCCAGCCTAAGAACTGAAGGTTGGGTCACCAGCAGATGGGTCTGGGGCTCCCCCTTCCCCCTCCCAGGGAAGAGGGGGGTTTGCGCAGAGCTCCGGGGAGCCTCCGAGACTCACCCATAAAATGGCGTTTCATTACATTCAATGCTGGGTTTTTTCTCTCACGTTCTAGCCGTGGACTGTGCTTGTGTCCAGTACGAAAAATATTTGTATAAAATTCATTTTTTTATCCAATCGACTTGGGGATAGTTTCAAAATGAGCACCTTTAGAGGGCACACAATTTGATACCAAAATGAAATATGTAACACGAAACTTGATGTCAGAACACTTAACCCTTAACATGCTTGGGGTCTAATATCCTGCCATCCGCACAGGCGCATGTCATTTTGAAAAAAAAAAAAAAATTTTTTTTTTTTGCTAATCTGTTAAGTTCTGTTCACTGATCACGGGAAAAAAAAAAAAAATCTATTGTACTTACTTTTGTTGCAATAGAGCCGAAAAGCTCGGTGATGACGTCACAATCTGCATGTTCGCTCATGCAGTACACGCCCCAGAGGTGTTGCGCGCGGTCCTCAAACAGCCAGAGTTGCCACAAATATATTTTCGCGCTATTTATTTACAATGTCTAAGCGCATTTTATCTAATTTTTTTTCACTAATTGTGTTTCAAATACTGTTTGAACATATTTTGTATCAATAATTGTTGCATATTTGAGTATACACAGGCGCACACAAATGTTTTCAATTACGGCAATATAATATGTCATTACAGTCTATTATATTGTATGTTCTGCTTATATTTGTATATATTTACACACACGCACACGCTATCTGCTTATATGTTTACATATTTACACACTCGCACACGCTATACACACTTTGAAGCACACTTAGAAGTTTTCTAGACTGTGGTAGTCATTGAAGCAGTCGACAGCACATAATGGGATACCACACGTTTCACACCATGTTTGCACAAGCTTCCGTTTCTTGTCTCTACGTGTCGTTGTTTTACACACCAAGCAATCACGTTGGGCTATTGCACGCTTCACACCAGGTGGCAAATACTTAAGTTTGTGTACTAGGAAGCCTTCAGTGTGAGCGAGGCGTGGAGTACCAGCATGCTGCAACAGTGGGTTTATGATGGGCCGCTGAATACCTGGGACATCTTTTGCAAACTTTCCTAATAACTGTATTGCAGCATCAAATACAAAGTCACGGAAAGTGGGCTTACGTCCAGTTCTCACAAGGTACATGTTGAAACAGTTCAGCATGCTCATGTCCACAAGATGGAAGAACACTTTTTTCGTCCACCTACATGTCTTCCGCACACACTCTGCAGTGCCAATCATCATGTCTGATTTATCAATCAACCGCATGTTGATATTATAGTCTAAAACACAGTCTGGCTTATATAGTGGTGCGTTTGTTTTATGGCTCACTTTCCCACTGTTCACCATTGTTCCATCATGAATTGTTGTCAACAAGTTCACCTCTCTTTTGTCTTTCCACCGAACTGACAGAATGTTATCACTTTTCCTTCTCTGACACTCACCAACTGCAATGTCGTTGTCAAACACAGGCATTTCCCTTCGTTGTGGCTTTACTGTACCAACCAATCCGGTTCTATTTTCTAGCAAGAACCGAGCTAGCAAGGGACTTGTATAGTAATTATCTGTGTATAAAATGTGTCCCTTGTTCATCCACGGAGCCATGATGGTCTTCACTACACTCCCCGAGAATCCATGTTCGTCGTTACCGGGAATGTCTACATCACTAGCCGAGTACAGAATCATGTGTAACATGTATCCTGTCTCACAATCACAAAGAACGAAAAATTTCAGGCCAAATCGGTTTCGTTTTGAGGGAATGTACTGTTTGAATGGAACACGTCCCTTGAAAAGTATGAGAGATTCATCAACCACCAGCTTCTGTGCTGGTACGTAAAAATCTCTGAATTTTCCAATAACATCGTTCATGTAGTGCCTCACTCGCCACAGTCTATCATCAGGTGTTCGGTCCTGAACACTTCCAAAATGTAGACACCTGAGGAGTATCTGAAACCTGTCTCGTGACATATATTTCCCGAATAAAGGTGTTGGTATTGTCTTGTCCTTGCTCCAATAGTCATTTATTGCATGTTTGTGACAGTGCTTCATCAACAAACAGAGTGCCAAAAACACATACATTTCCGCCACTGTGGTATTTTTCCAACGCTGCAGTCGTGAAAATTCTGTGATTTCCCTCTCAATCAGGTAAGCAGCATGCAGGTTCGTTTGGTGTACAATGTATTCCATGAGTGGTTCATCATAGAATGCTGTAAAATATTCCATCTCAGCCATGTCCTCACCTTGATTAGGGAAAAGGTTTGTAATCCCTACATCTTTATCGTCAAAGTGAGGAATATTAGGAATAAAATCGTCACCATCACTCCACTCAAGTACACCAGGCGTCCTGCGAGATGCAGAGGAAAGACGGCGAGGAAGCGATGCATACCGGCGACCAGGAGCTGAATACCGTCTGCGAGAAGCACGGCGGCTACGTGCACGTGAGGTGGGTGCACGTGAGGTGGGTGCACGTGAGGTGGATGCACGTGAGGTGGATGCACGTGAACACGAGGGTCTTGGTCCCTCATGTGGTGCCATGCGGTGGCGCTTGGCCGGGCGAGATGCTGGTGACGCGACAATTTCTCACCCAGTTACACCACTGGTACCAGCCACAGGCTCAATAAAACTTTGATCTGAGTCACTAAACCCAGAAAAGGAGTCACCTCCCTCTGACTCGTCACCCTCAAACAGAAAATATCCACAGGAACTGTGAGGTCGTGGTAGAATTGGGGTAGAAACTGGCCGAGGAGGCATGGGTGAGCGTAGAGGCCTCGCCATGGCATGGCGGTCATTCTCACTTTCACTGCTGCTGCTGCTATCACCCGACAACTGTGTATAATCCTCATCGTTGTCTGAATCGTCAAACACACTTTCTTCACCTTCAGAGAATAATTCGTGGGCTATTTGCTCTGGGGTGAGGGACTGAGTGGTGCGTGCCCGGGAGGCGTTTGACCGTGCGCTCGCCATGGTGACTCTCGCTAAACTGAGGCCTCCCATGCCTTCGGTTCGTGAGCGGGATTTTTTTTCAAAATGGCCGCTGTTTACTAGAGCCCCTGGGCAGCGTATGGGACCCCCAGCTACACCGCGGGCCATTCAAATCGTGCGCGGTACCCATAATCTTCATATGACGTGAAGCGCAGTTGACTGGTAAAACGATTTACACTTCATATGAAGTGATGCGCACTTTAAGGGTTAAAAGATTATAAATACGTTTTTGGTCAAAATTTTAAAATATTTGTTAAAATTCTATTTATTGTGCTATTATTATGGAACTAGTTTTAAAATGCGCACCTTTAGATTGCGAACAATTTGATACCAAAATGAAAGATGTAACACGAAAATTTATGTCAGAACACTGGAAAGATATAAATAATTTTGTGATGATGAGCGTCCAAAATTAAAATATTTGTTAAAATTCTATTTATTGCTCTATTATTATGAGACTAGTTTTAAAATGCGCGCCTTTTTACTGCGAACAAATATATTTATATATATATTAATTTTTAATTTTCTTTTTATTACTAGGTACATCATCCTAGTGCACTTGGCATTGAAGTTGGCCAGCAACTTAAAGTGAAGTATTTTGGACGTGACCCAGCATCAGGTCAGATGAGATTGTCTAGAAGAGCACTACAAGCTTCCGCTGCTGCTGTAAAAAATCTTCATAAAGCAGAGCCTGTATGAGTTGTAGTTAAAATAATAAAAAGCTGTAAATATATATATATATATTTTTTTATTAAATATGGCTTGTGGAGATTCTGTGTATTTTTAAAACTGAATAATATATCTTGGGATTGAAGATAACAATTTCCTAATAAACTGTGCTGTCTTCCATGAGGGACTGGTTAAATTCACTTACAAGGTAGCGATGAAACAAAAACAGTGCTTAAGTGCTCATAGATTACAATTGTCATTGCTGGGCCTGCAGCCCAGTCAAAACTCCCACAACAACTAGGGCACAATAAAATGGCACAAAGCACCACAGAAAGTATGTTGGCTAGGGAAACGCCAGAACCCCAATCAACAACGAGGAAGAACTAGTACATGCAAGAGGCACAGAAAAAGAGCCTCACGAGCCACCCCGAGAGGCAGACATTTGTGAGACACCAACCCCAAAAGGCCCAAGGCACATGGGGACCGAACCCGAGGGGATGCTGTATCCAAATTAAAACCATAGAGAGACAGGAGATACATAACCCCCCTTGCAACAAAAGATCCATCGCAGAATGCATGAGGAACCAGGGAAAGTCACAAGGGACCCAACGACCATTACCAAACGCCCCGCAAGCCCCGGGAACTGTAGCAGAGGACTCGTGGGACAGAGCCAATGTCCGTATTCATATCCCGGGACAGAAAAGTGGAGTCCATGGGAGAGGTCTGAATGGAAGGGCTACCAGGTAAAGGAATATGCAGAAGCCTCGGTAGGACCTGTAGGCTCCACTGCCTCAGTATAGAATTTACTAAAGAGTTCATGATTTTAAGTTTATATTATAACGTCAAAATACTGCTTAATTGTATGTTTTTTTAGTACAACACAGAAAGAAAGAAAACGGGAAAATATTGCCTAAATCATCAATATTTGGTTTAAATCACATAAGGGAAAGTTGGATGATAAACGTCAAAATATTGCTAAATTCCATGATTTTAAGTTCCAACAAAATACAAGATAACTTTCTAAAAGTTATCGAGCGGAACTTCGAACGGAGCTTCGAGTGGAGTTTCGTGTTATTTAGATCATTAATAAGCATATGAAAATGACGTTTCCAATACAAATGATAAAAAATAACTGTTTTCACTAGAATTTACTATAGAGATCATGATTTTAAGTTTATATTACCTAAAGAAGATGTACACATAAAACAGCTTTAATCCGGCTGAAACGTCGATATATGCAATAAAAACTGGATTTCTCTCCTTATCAATATCTTACTCACTGTGGGTTTTTTTAATCCAACACAGAAAGAAAAAAAACGGGAAAATATTGCCTAAAGCATCAATATTTGGTTTAAATGACTTAAAGGAAAATTGGATGATCAACGTCAAAATATTGCTAAATTCGATGATTTTAAGATCAAAACAAAATACAAGATAACTTTCTAAAAGTTATCGAGCGCAGCTTCGTGTTATGTCGATCATTAAAAAGCATATAAAAATGACGTTTCTAATAAAAATGATTAAAATAACTGTGTTTTCAATAGAATTTACTATAGAGTTCATGATTTTAAGTTTATATTATAACGTCAAAATACTGCTAAATTGTATGGTTTTTTAGTACAACACAGAAAGAAAGAAAATGAGAAAATATTGCCTACAACATCAATATTTGCTTTAAATCACATAAGGGAAAATTGGATGATAAACGTCAAAATATTACTAAATTCGATGATTTTAGGTTCAAAACAAAATACAAGATAACTTGCTAAAAGTTATCGAGCGGAACTTCCAGCGGAGCTTCGTGTTATTTAGATAATTAAAATGCATATGGAAATGACGTTTCCAATATAAATGATAAAAATAACTGTGTTTTCAATAGAATTTTCTATTGAGTTCATGATTGTAAGTTTATATTATTTAAAGGAGATGTACACGTAAAACAGCTTTAATCCGGCTGAAACGTCGATATATGCAATAAAAACTGGATTTCTCTCCTTATCAATATCTTATCCACTGTATTAACGAGGTACAAATAGTTAAATCATCAAGCGGAGCTTCGTGGTATTTAGATCATTAAAGAAGCATATGAAAATGACGTTTCCAATACAAATGATAAAAATAACTGTACGAAATCTATAGAGTTCAGTTTATATTATAACGACAAAATACTTCTAAATTGTATGTTTTTTTAGTACAACACAAAGAAAGAAAACGGGAAAATATTTCCTGAAGCATCAATATTTGGTTTAAATCACATACGGGAAAGTTGGATGATGAACGTCAAAATATTGTTAAATTCGATGATTTTAATTTTAAAACAAAATACAAGATAACTTATTCAAAGTTTTCGAGCGGAGCTTCGAGCGGAGTTTGTGTTATTTGGATCATTACAGAAGCATATGAAAATGACGTTTCCAATACAAATGATAAAAATAACTAAGAATTCTATAGAATTTTCTAAAGAGTTCATGATTATAGGTTTATATTACTTAAAGGAGATGTACACGTAAAACAGCACTAATCCGGCTGAAACGTCGATATATGCAAAAAACTGGATTTCTCTCTCTATCAATATCTTACTCACTGTATTTACGAAGTACAAATAGTTAAATCATCAAACAGAGCTTTGTGTTATTTAGATCATTAAAGAAGCATATGAAAATGACATTTCCTCTACAAATGATAAAAATAACTGTGTGAAATCTATTGAATTTAATATGGAGTTCATGATTTTAAGTTTATATTATAATGTCAAAATATTACTAAATTGTATGGTTTTAGTACAACACAGAAATAAAGAAAACAGGAAAATATTGCCTAAAGCATCAATATTTGGTTTAAATCACATAAGGGAAAGTTGGATGACAAACGTCAAAATATTGCTAAATTCGACGATTTTAAGTTCAAAAGAAAATACAAGATAACTTGCTAAAAGTTATCGAGTGGAGCTACGAGCGGAGCTTCGTGTTATTTAGATCATTAAAAACCATTTCAAAATTACGTTTCTAATACAAATGATTATAATGACTGTGTTTTCAATAGAATTTACTATAGAGTTCATGATTATAAATATAAATATATATATAATATAAACCTTTTGGTTTATATTACCAAAAGAAGATGTACACACAAAACAGCTCTATTCCGGCTGAAACATCCATATATGCAATAAAAACTGGATTTCCCTCCATATCAATATCTCGTTCACTCTATTAACAAAATACAAATAGTTAAATCATCGAGCGGAGGTTCGTGTTATTTAGATCATTTCAGAAGCATATGAAAATGACGTTTCCAATACAAATGATAAAAATAACTGAGAATTCTATAGAATTTTCTATAGAATTCATGATTATATGTTTATATTACTTAAAGGAGATGTACACGTAAAACAGCTCTAATCCGGCTGAAACGTCGTTATATGCAATAAAAACTGGATTTCTCTCCTTATCAGTATCTTACTCACTGTATTAACGAAGTACAGATAGTTAAATCATAAAGCGGAGCTTCATGTTATTTAGATCATTAAAAAAGCATATGAAAATGACGTTTCCAATACAAATGATAAAAATAACTGTACGAAATCTATAGAATTTACTATAGAGTTCAGTTTATATTATAACGACAAAATACTTCTAAATTGTATGTTTTTTTAATACAACACAGAAAGAAAGAAAACGGGAAAATATTTCCTGAAGCATCAATATTTGGTTTAAATCACATAAGGGAAAGTTGGATGACAAACGTCAAAATATTGTTAAATTTGATGACTAAGTTCAAAACAAAATACAAGATAACTTGCTAAAAGTTATCGAGCGGAGCTTCGAGCGGAGCTTCGTGTTATTTAGATCATTTAAAACCATTTCAAAATTACGTTTCTAATACAAATGATTATAAAACTGTGTTTTCAATAGAAATTACTATAGAGTTAATGATTTTAAGTTTATATTACCTAAAGGAGATGTACACACAAAACAGCTCTAATCCGGCTGAAACGTCCATATATGCAATAAAAACTGGATTTCCCTCCTTATCAATATCTCACTGACTATTAACGAAGTACAAATAGTTAAATCATCCAGCGGAGGTTCGTGTTATTTACATCATTACAAATGCATATGAAAATGACGTTTCCAATTCAAATGATAAAAGTAACTGTGGGAATTCTATAGAGTTTACTATTCTATAATCATGAACTATAAAGTTCATGATTTTAAGTTTATATTATAACGTCAAAATACTGCTAAATTGTATTTTTTTTTTTTATACAACACAGAAAGAAAGATAACGGGAAAAAATTGCATAAAGCATCAATATTTGGTTTAAATCACATAAGGGAAAGTTGGATGACAAACGTCAAAATATTGCTAAATTCGATGATTTTAAGTTCAAAAGAAAATACAAGATAACTTGCTAAAAGTTACCGAGCGGAGCTTCGAGCGGAGCTTCATGTTATTTAGATCATTAAAAATCATTTCAAAATTACGTTTCTAATACAAATGATTATAATAACTGTGTTTTCAATAGAATTTACTATAGAGTTCATGATTATAATATATATATATATATATATATATATATATATATATATATATATATATATATATATATATATATATATATATATATATATATATATATATATGTCGTACCTAGTAGCCAGAACGCACTTCTCAGCCTACTATGCAAGGCCCAATTTGCCTAATAAGCCAAGTTTTCATGAATTAATATATTTTCTCTAATTTTTTTCTTATGAAATAATAAAGCTACCCATTTCATTATGTATAAGGTCAATTTTTTGTTATTGGAGTTAAAATTAACGTAGGTATATGACCGAACCTAACCAACCCTACCTAACCTAACCTATCTCTATAGGTTAGGTTAGGTTAGGTAGCCGAAAAAGTTAGGTTAGGTTAGGTTAGGTAGGTTAGGTAGTCGAAAAACAATTAATTCATGAAAACTTGGCTTATTAGGCAAATTGGGCCTTGCATAGTAGGCCCAGAAGTGCATTCTGGCTACTAGGTACGACATATATATATATATATATATATATATATACATATATA